GTTGTCACAGAGAGAAATTACTTAGGAAAAATAATCTGCAGTGTTATAGTTCGATTATTAAATGGGTGCTCTAAATCTGTTTGCGCAGTGTGAGTGTGTGTGGGTGTGTGAATGTGAGTGTGTGAATGAGTGTGTTTGTGTGAATGTGTGTGTGAGTGTGTGTGTGAGTGTGTTTGTGTGTGTGTGTTTGTGTTTAGGACGAATCTATTTTTGTGAAGATTAAGAATGGTACACAAATTTGAATGGAGGCTTTAGAACGGCAGTGCCCTGATGTCACGAGCTTCTGGTTAGCCCTGCTGTGGTTTTCAGGGTCTTGCTGTCTCAGTCGAAACTGCTCATCTGTCGCAGTTATTGTGCCAAAATGACGACAGGCAGCCCATAAACACATGGCGCGGCTGCTTTTCAATAAAACTTTATTTAAAACCACGGGAGGCCAGCGCACTGGAACCAGGAAAGCCCCGGTATCTGCCCATCCCCAGAGAGGCAGTCTGTTTTTGAATCTCGTTATCAAAGGACTGTGTATTCATCGGCGGCCTGTTCGGCCCTCGTATTTGAGGGGCAGTTTACCTGTTCACCTCTTAGGAACTAACTCGGGAGTCCCACGTCTTGCATCGCACTTCCTGTAGCTCGGACGCTTCTTGGCAGGTGCTCCATTCTGGTTTGAATGAGTTCTCCCTCTGGACTGACTGGTTAGCCTGCAGATAACGGCCGTTTTATTTTACCACCAACACCTGCGCGTCTAAGAAGTCGTGTGTTTTAGACAAGTCAGCCCCTGACATTTGTTTTCCTTGAAAATTTTTTCTTTCCATTGAGTCATATTTAATTGTATTGAAATGGAGATTAGCATTCTGGTTTAATAACGAGGGAAAGGTCTTCCATTTTGACAAGGGAACTCCAGAATTCAATAAATAACAAAGTTAATTAGATAACAGGGACAAAAGTGTTTGTTGCATTAATCCTGCCACCAAATGAGACTTGATGGGAACGCTGGGAAATGGGCCATTTTGAACTTCCCCAAAACACGCCATTCCTGGTCTTAACTTTGGGAAAAAGAACTTAAGAACTCGTGTTTAGAAAACCGAGTCTCTCTTCTGTTGTGCTAATAACGGATTATTAAGTTACATGCATAAAAAGTACTGACTAACGTCAGGAGGGAAATGCTGTGCAGGCCGTCGTGCCCTTGGCTGTCTGATGGCAGCCTGTCCCCTTCCTCACTGGTCAGGCGGCTCTCAGGGCCAGGGACCAGCCGGTGGCGTCAGGGTGGGATTGCTTCCTGAGGACGAGGACCTGAGACAAACGAGGTGCGTTTCTCCCGGCTTTCCGCCTGGGAGACGCTGCTGGTGCTGCCCAGGGTCGGTTTGTGGAGAGCGGGGGAGGCAGAGGAAGGCTGGTTTCCGGTCCAGGGAGCCCTTCACCTTCCTCCCCTTCTCGCTGGAAAAACCGTATTCTGGACCTTCTGTGCTACAACAAATGGTTGACAGTCACCAAGTGCTGTCAGAGACACCATCCCATTTAATGATCAGGAACGCTTCATGGTGTAAGTACTAACATGCCCAAGTTACAGATGAGGAGGAGCCTGAGGCTTAGAGACTTCGGGGAGTCTTCATGGGGTCGTAGAGGAAATCGTGGGACAGTCGCTGTTCTGGGTCCGAAGCCACTTGGGTGAATCTAATCACTAAGGAGCCGTTGTCCTTTTGGGCAAGGGCTCCCTGGGTTCAAGCGCACGTAACAGACTGATTATAATGCCGTAAACAGACAGTGTCTGTCGGCCTGTTTGTTTTCTAGGCGATGGCTTTATTGTGCCAGCAGGTCATCCATGTGGAGTGGGGGTGGGGCAGCACATCTGCGACCTCCTGTTTCTTCTTGGTCGAAGGGGCTTGAGACATCCCTGTCCCAGGCCACATGGGAGTGTCACAGCAAAACAAAGGCAGGGACTTTCACACGGCGTGGCAGAGCGACGCTTGCCCTCACAAGGCTGGAGTTTTAACCTGGAAAGTTTTACCTGTTCAAGTCCTGGACTGAAGCCATTTATGACAGCGCCATCTCCTGGGCACACAGACACGGGTGGGCTGAGGACTCAGTCCTCGCCGGCACAGAAGTCACATGCCAGACAACTGTGTCCACTTGCAATGTGCAAAAATCTGCGCAGTTACAGATTTTGAACAAAAAGAGCAGCAGCAGCAGGAAAATGTTTATTTAGAAATAAACTCGTTGAAGAACACAATCCTGAGAGAAGGCTGAACGTTTAGTGTCAAGCAAACAGGCAGAATTTGTCTTTTTATGGAAATTCAGTGTCTCCGCAGAGCCCAGGGGGCTGCGGGGCTGCCCTGTCCCCTTCCCATTCCCAGCGGCACCGACAGGCAGGCCGGAAATAAGGTGAGAAGGAGTGAGTCTGGCGCCCACTCTCCCCTGTTCCTCCCAGGACAGAAGAGGCCCGGCTGCCACTGGTCGGAGCGCAGCCCAGGGAAGTGCGCTGCCTGTCCTGCCATGTCGCCCATAAGTGAGGCTGCCGAGGATGGAGATCCGTGGGCAGGCCCCCCAGGACAGAGACCTCTGGGTTAGGCTCCCAGGACAGGACCTATAGGAAAGAGGCCCCCCAGGATGGGACCTGTGGGCGAGAGGACCCCCAGGACAGGATCTGTGGGTGGGGCCCCCAGGATGGGGACCAGTGGGCGAGGAGATGCACTCCTGGTGAGACCAGCGTGTGGATGAGGGACATGAGCCCTGAGACCCTGGTGAGGACATGACTTTCTCTCCCTTCTCAGCTCCCCCATGAATGAGACACGGGGCTAACGGGGCAAGCACTGTGGTTTCGTCACCGTGTGAAGACGGTTCCCCCACGGTTTTACCCCCTGCTGCTGTGAGAGTACAGCTAACACAGTGAGGACTCGGATGCCTACTTGACATTTAGTGGTGTGGCAGTGACAACACTGGTGACAGTCATTCTCTGGGTGCATGTGATAAACTGCACACTTCTCACCCATTCCGTCAAGTCATTGGCTGTGCACAGCGACCCTATGAGGACGGGGTGCGTGGTTATTGTAAGAGTGACCCCATGACCTGCTTTGTCTGGGGCAGCCCCCTTTCCTGTCATGTGCATAATTATATATTGGCCCCCTTTGGCTGTCCAGTGTCTGACTTAGGATGACAGTATGCACAGTCCCCCTAACTGTCACATCCACACATGATGCTCGGAAGTTGAAGCTCAGAGAGGTGAATTGCCCAGGGCTCAGAGCAGAGGGCAGCGGGCTTCAGACTTCAGAACAAAGGCTCTGAACCACTTCCAGGCCAGTGATCACAGCCCGGCAGCCTGCTCCCCACAAGAGGGCCTGCTCCCCAGCAGCTGAAGGCAGGGGGCCCTGGGAATTCACACGTTAGCATATAAATGAAGGAAAGCAATTTGGGGAAAGGGTGAGAATCTGCAAAACAGGAGCAGTGCCTGCTTTCCTCTGTCTGCCTTTGGCCTTGGGCCCTGGCCACACCTGCTTAGGCTGCGGCCAGGTGGGGAACTGGGGGGAAATGCTTTCACAGCTGTTCCGACCTCACAAAAGCATAAAATTGTACTTATGAGAAAGTCAGTTTTTGATGGACTTCCTTTGCCTGTTTGGCAATTTTGTTTTCTTGAGTCTGAATGGGATACGAGGGAGTGCGAGCCCCCGTTCTTCCTGGAAGCCGTGGTTCCACGGGGCTTCGTGGACCGAGCCTGTGTCCTGCGGCGTGGAATTAGGAGGCTGTGTGCCAGCTGGCTAAGGCCCCTCAGCCATCTAGAGCCAGATAATGCACACGTGTGTGTGTGTGTGTGTGCATGTGTGTGTGTATGCAATGTGTGTGTGCATGCGCGCATGTGCGCGCATGTGTGTATGTGTGTATGTGTGTGAGCGTGTGCATGTGTGTGTGTAATGTGTGTGCGTGCATGTGTGTGCGCGTGCATGTGTGTGTGAGTGTGTATGTGTGTGTGTGTAATGTGTGTGTGTGCATGTGTGTGCGCGTGCATGTGTGTGTGAGTGTGTGTGTGCGTGTATGTGTGTGTGTGTAATGTGTGTGCGTGCATGTGTGTGCGCGTGCGTGTGTGTGTGTGAGTGTGTGTGTGTGTGTGTGTGTGTGTGTGTGTGTGTGTGTGTGCGCGCGCGCGCACATACAGGCCAGGCTTAGACAGAGGGTGGCTTACCTAGTGACTGGTCAGCGGGACACTAATAAACCAAAGGGGCTCAGAGCGCTCAGGCTGGACCCTCCTTTGGAAAAGGCGCTCAGGACAGGTCACGTGACATAACGGGCATCACAGGCAGCGGGGCCTTGGTCGTCCTTTGCGTCAGGGCGTGTCAGTTCCTGGCGGGCTGATCAAGGCTGGCTTCCTGCCTAGACCCAGATCCCCTGACTCAGGGCCCATCCTGCTGGACGGGCCAGGCCTCCTGTTCCCCAGGGAGGGGAGCTGCCCAGGGGTCACCTACAGATACAGGGTGGCATTGCCAGGCTCCACAGCTTCGAAACTAGGTGACTCTTGACTAACTTTTAACTAGGAGCAACGGCCCACGTTTTTATGTCTGTGTCTAATCGAGATTTTACTAGTTGTTTAAGTTTGTGTTGTTTTAACATTGAATAATTCAGATGCCAGTAAAACATAGCCCCACTGAACATGGCAGAAGAACACCCACTTTGAGAGATGTTACACATTTTTTCAGGTGTTCTTATCTGATAATGTCAACACGGACCTACCTTGATTTTTCTGTAGGTGATTAGTTCATTACCATGATTCTTACTCAGGAAAAAGTAAACGATAGATAACGCTGCTGAAAACACTTCTTCCTAAGGAAACCTTAGGAAGCCAGGAGAACTCTGGATGAAATCCACGAGTAACTAAGAACAATCCTCCTGTAATCATAAGAAACGACCAGAAGACTTGGAGTATTTCTTAGGGAATTTCTCTGGGTGGGTCTGCAGAGGGTCCCGCGTACCTGGAGTGTCCCGTCACGGGCTCACCAGTCACATATGCTTTTCCACAGGACCGCGCATGTGGCCACTCCCGTTTCGAGATTCCAGATGACAGATGCTGAGTTGCTGGCTGCTCTCAGTCGAGCTCCTGACCCAGAAAGGTAAGGTAAGGACACGTTAATTTGGAAACAGAATGTGTGATGGGCAATTTTTACAGGTCAACTTGGACAGGCCACAGCGCCCTGATAGTTGCTCACACATTATTCTGGATATTTCTGTAAGGGTGTTTGTGGATGAGACAAACATTTAAATTGGTGGACTTTGAGTAAAGCAGATTACACTCCATAGTGTGGGTGGGCCTTGTTCAATCAGTTGAAGGCCCCAATAGAACAAAGTCTGACCTCCCCTGAGTAAGAGGGAATTCTGCCAGCAGACGGCCTCTGGACCTGAGACGCCACCCTCCCCTGAGGCTCCGGCCTGCTGGCCCCCCCTGAGGCTTTGGACTCACCGGCCACTACAGTCACATGAGCCGATCCCTTCAGACCTGTGTCCCTCCTGTCTTTTTCTGCCCCCACCCTCTCTGTACACACGTTATTGATTCTTTTCCCTGGAGGCTCCTAATGCAGACTGTGATGCCAGCCTTGCAGGCCTGTCACCGAGGCCGCGACTGGTCGTCCGTGTGAGTGCACTCCAGAGTCAGGAACACAGCATATCTCCTGGGCCTACGTGACCCCTGCTGCCATCTGGACGCCGTCATGCTTCCTCGTCCATTCAGTGAGCAGCCCCTGAGCCCGTCTTGGCCTCCAGGCCTGCGGTGGACGTGGTGGACGTGGAAGTGGGTGGAAAGGCTCCCGTCCACATGTCCCTTGAGCCAAAAGGAAGCAGATTAGGGGTCTCCGAGGGCCGGGGGAGAGGGGTTTGAGGAGTGACTGCTTGTGGGCATGGGGTTTCCTTTTAGGTGATTGAAATGTTCCAGAACTGGATGGAGGCGGTGGCTGCATGACTGTGGGAATGTTCTAAACGCCACCGGTGGTCTGTTCTATGTCACGTGTGTTTTGCCTCAATGCAAAAAAAAAGAGTCTTGCTCTAAAATCCAGGCCAGTCCCGAACATACGGGCTATGTGTATGTCCCTCTAAGCTGGGTGGCCTGCTTAATTTAATTTGTATTTTAGTTTCTTTACATGAAAACCCATCTGTGAACCCCAGGCATATTTTTCTTTGAAAGTGACTAATTTCAAATGTCTTAAGTGCATAGTGCAGGCTGATGAGTCTTCATTTGTCACTGGGTGCCTATGAGTGGGGCACTCGTCTCCTTAACGTGTCACAGAGAAGCTGGTGGGCTCTGATGACAGTTGTCCCTGTAAAGGAGGCTTTCTCCTGCCTCGTCCGCCTGGCTGGGTGGCCTCCCTCGTGCCGCAGGCATGTCAGCCTGAGCTGCGCTCCCAACTCACGTGGTCCTTACCCATCTAGGTGCTGGGCCATCCTGAAGGAGGAGAGGATTCTGCAGACGTCCACACACACCCATTTCAGGGCATACTGCCTGTCGGCTGCCAGTGGCTGCAATAATACAGATGCCTGATACCATTTTGAATATTAATATCCACCCGCCACGTTCAGCAGCATCATAATTTGGCAGTGCTTGGTGGTGCTGCTGCCTTTCCAGCCAAATGGCATTTGTCACACTCAAGTAGGAACAATTATTAATAATTTTCATTTCATTAGAAGCACTACGATAAAATGTCAACAGCCTTAAAAGTGCACCAGAGGTGTACAAATTAATTTTGATTTTCTGAAGTGTAATTGCTTTTGTAAGTACTAGACTGTGTAATCACTTCGGGCGTTATTACTTGTGCAATCAATTATACTTAAATGCACTTATCTGTTTTCAAACATGATTTTCGGAGGTCACCTGTTGGTGTTTTTTGCTATTATAATAGGAAGATGTTATAATTCATATTGGACATGCAGTAACCAAGGCATGGATAGGGTAGTGATGAGATAAATTGAAATATAATAGCAAAAATTGTTTCAGCAAGCGATCACCCCTCCCACATGTGGATTTTGGGCTTAATTCGTTTTAATGTAAGTCTGGCTGGGGCACTACACATCGTGACTACAAAATGGCTTCCCCAGTGGCAAAGTAAACATGGGCGTCCACGTCTGTTTCAGAGTGTGGCCGCTCGGACTGGGGCCTGGTGTCCGACTCCAGGTGCTCTCTGGGCACCGCTGCGTAAATCGCTCCACACCCATCTTTTCCGGTTTGTTCCTCTCTAACGGGAAGGTGCCAGAGCGCCGTGCCTGGAAGCCACGGGCGCTTTCATCGTCTCCTCTTCACTGCACGGCCGCTGCAGGCTGGATGCTTCGTAAATTCTTCGTGAATGAGCACATGAGCAGCGTAATGAAGGAAAGTCAATGACAGAATGTGAAGCGCTCCTTAACTGAGAGCCAGGACCATGGTTGTTGTTAGTCATCATAACAGGACGTCAATAATGACAGTGTCGATCCTGGAGAAGTCTGTTGACGTCACTGCTTTGGGCCGGGAAGCAGAGCCACGCTCAGTGAGCCGCAGGAAGAGCCCGCACGTCACCAGGAATTAAATCAACGCAAACTGAAACAGCAGTGGAATACCTTTATTGCCTATAAAATAGCAAAACGAGAGATCAGTAACATTTACAGATGCCGGAGTGGTGAGGACACGGGTGCCGCGACCACTTCTGGCAGGAACATAAGTGGGCCCAACCTTCACAAACAGTGAGCTAGCTAAATGTTTCAAACTTCAAAATGTACATGACCTATGACCAAGGATTTCTACTTTTGGTGTCTCCTTTAAAGAAATAGTAAGCGAAGGGCCGGCCGAGTGGCGCGTCGGTTAGGAGCTGGCTTGGGACACCAGCTCTGAGCAGCAGGGCCCTGGTTCAGATCCCACATGAGGGCCAGTGACGCTGCGCCCTCTACTGCTAAGATGCTGAACAACAGCTCTACCTGGAGCTGGGCTGCTGTGAGTCACCGGCAACAGCATAGGCTGCAGTGGGGCTGCCATAAGCCACCGTGAGTGGCCAGCAGTGGGCATGAGCTTTCGTGAACTGCCGTGAGCTGCCATGAGCGGCCGTCCAATGGCCGGCGAGCGACTGCCTCACCCGGGAAGAGCGCAATGATAATACCAACATAAGCCAGTGAAATGACGTCCTCCACAACTAGACTGAAGAACAAAAGGACAGCAACTTGTCTGTTCCTCTTCCCCGATTCCCCAACGCTGTTCCCATCCCCCAATTCCCCAATAAAATATTTTTAAAAAAAAGAAATAGTAAGCGAAGACCTGTACTCAAATGATTTTTTTGCAGTATTAAGTACATAAAACAGATATTGCATAAACGTCCATCTACGGAGACTATGGGAATAAGTCGTGATACATCCACAGAACAAAACCCTATGTATCCACTGAGAAGATTCTTTATGGATTGACATGGAAATGTGCTGAGTTATAGTGTTAAGTGACACAAACAAGTTGCAATCCAATGTCTGTGGTGTGCTTCTGTGTTTTGAGAGGTTGGATAGACTGCCTAAGACCTGGAAGGGACCTGGACAGTGAGTGGATCAGACACAGAGAAACACCGCCTCCTGGGGGATTGGGATGGCGTGGGTGTGGGCTTGTGACTGTCACTTACTATTTCGCATTTTTAAGTGGTGGTATTCCATGTGGTTTTAGTTTATCTTTCATTTGAAAGAAATTTAAAATAAATGCACCTAATCGATCTAAAAGTAGTTTTGAATGGGTGAGATCTCTCTTGGTAAGTAACCAACCCAATCCGTAAACGCAGAGTAGCCAAAACTGCCTGATCCCCACTCCCCCCCGCCCACCGCCACCCCCGCCAGCCCATGTCCATTCAGGCGCTTTTCCCAGGTTGGCTTCTTAACGGGCTCCCAGCTGGAATTGCACAGTGCGTGCACGAGACACATGGAAGCCTCGGGAGGGAGGATGGCACACCCATGCCATTTATATGAAGAAGCGTTTACTTCAACTGCAGCTTTCTCAGGACCTTCCAGTCATACAACACAACTGAGAGCTGGACCAGCCCCCATACGCCCCCAAAAGAGGGACAAATTCACAAAATTATGTCCTCGTCCTCAAAATGACTTCTTTAGCTGTTAGCTAAGTGTCTGCACACAGGTGATTAGGCTGAAATGTTAAGTCCTGCCTCCATGGCAACGGAAACAACAACTCTAGCTCTTTGGGACTCGGAACTGACATGGTGGCCTGTGGCACTTGTTACAATCAATCCGATTGGATGTCCGTAACGGGGTGGCCATCTCATTTTACCTTGTTGACTTTTAAGAAATAATCACATTTCACATCATATTAGTAAGTAAAATTGTAATTATAAGAAAAATGATGGAGCCATAAAATAAGAAAGTCAGCCCTATTTAAAAAAAAATTAATATCCTGATTTAAATAAAATAAAACCTTTCATTGACCTGAGAACTTGGTTAATGAGGCATTTGCCAAATTGTTTAGTTTTATGGCTTGCCAAATGTGTAATTACTTTGCTTGGCACTTTTAGAAAACGTTATTATAAACTCTTCTTCCCAAGAAAATTACGCAACATAATTATTAACTCTAAAATCACACACACATTGATCTGCTCATCTTTGCTTTCATGCTTCAGCTGTCACTTAAACGTCGGCTGCTTGAATCACGCACCTGTTCACAATGGTGTTTTCAATGTGTTTCTACTAATTTCCCTTTATTTGGTAGAGAGCCAAACCCTGGAAAGAGGAAGTAACAGCAATGGGCTTTGCTAGAAAGTCACCCCAGTCACTTCGGAGGCCCCGATCACGTCCACACGGCTGAGGACGGCCGCAGCCCTGTCGGCCGGTACGCACAGCCTGTGTTACACGGTCTCATCCATTCTGAATATTTCAGCCAGAAACAACAGCGTTTCAAACGCAGACACACAAAGACAAGCTGGCCCCGTCAGGGTTAGATTTTGTTCTTGCTTTCTCTTGGAGGTTGCCTCTGAAAAGTAAGAGTGCCTTTTGCTTAACGGACAGAGGAGAACCTGTTTCATCCAAATTTAAACCTTTATTTCGAGGTGTTCATCTCTCATGTTTCTTCTTTCAGCTTCCTTTCTATGAGGCGTCCGCTGTCTGCTAACCAGGACACCCTGGGGGCCGGGCTGGGCTCAGGACCGCCCTCCTCAGCCCCTGCCACGGCCACGCCGCCTGCGTGCTCCTTCATTAGCGGGCAGAAAGACCACCTTCTCCCTTCACGTTGGTTCAGCCGTGAATCAGAACAGTGTTATGGGCTGAATTGTGTCCCCCCACAAAATTCACTTGTTGAGGTGCTGATCCCCAGTGACTCAGAATGCGGCTGTATTTGGAGGTGATTAAGGTTAAATGGAGCCATGCAGGGCCCTCATCCAGTAGGACGGGAGCCTTTATAAGAAGAGGAGATTAGGACTCAGACACACGCACAGAGGACAATATGGGGAGGAGATGGCCACGGACCAGCCAAGGCAGAGGCCTCGTAAGGAACTGATCCTGCCGATACCTTGAGCTTGGACCTCCAGCCTCTAGAACTGTAAGAAAGTAAGTTTATTTTCCTAAAGGCCCTGTCTGTGGCCCATTGTGAAGGCCACCCTAGCAGCCTAGCACTTTGCTCTGCTTGGTAGGGAACTGGTGAGTAGCGATGGAGCGACTGGACCTAGCTCCATTCTTCACTGAATGGCAAGACAGCAGAGAAATGGATTGAGCTGTGGCCACAGTGGGTCCGTCCATAGAGAAGGACCTACCAGAAGTCACGGAGATTCAGGGGCTCATGGTTCCCTGGGGGGCGGGGGGCTGCAGATATGCAGCTGACGTAGCTGCGTGATCGTGGCTTTCTTTGTGAGAGAATGTGGAGGCACCTGCCTGCTCAATAGCAGACAACGTTACTGTCACGGTTTGAGCCCTTATTTCGGTTATACAGCCCCACCCCCCAAAATGTCAGGTTAAAGATCCCCTGAAAATTGCTGGAAATTTCCTAATTACCATGCAAAGGAGAGTTCTAAAAATGCACAAATCTATGCACATGGACACTGACCTCGCAAGACTGAGGGCAGCTGTTGTCTTCTTGGAAAGCGTCCAGCTCCAGACCTGGGGTTTGCTGCCCCCTCCTGTAGAAATGGGCAGTGGGTCAGGTTTCAGCCAGTCCCCATGAGTGCTTCAGGTCAGATGGAAGTCTGATTCTGAACAGCTTCTGTTTGCAGAGAAACAGGCTTTATTGAGCCTTTCCGTGTTGCACTAGGATGCGTATCTCTCCAATAAACAAACAAAGAGTGTTAGAATTCTTGAGGCACAATGCTGGGTGATTTTCACCTTTACTGGCCTGTCCGCCCTAAATTCCATCTTTTGCTCCTGATTTGGCAATAAAGATCCATATATATTTATCTGGGGGGAAAGGACACAAATAAAGAAGCTCTGAAAGCATAACCTTTTTTCTCTTTGGCCACTGAGAGTTTATCCGTATAGACCCACCAGGACGATGTCCTCTGGTGCTTTTTCAGGTTTTATTCTGCATTTTGCTCTGTGCCTCCTGAGACAACCCAGGAGAAAGCGTGTGCAGATCTGCATGATGCATTCTGAGAAAACATTTTAGGTCCCGTTTTAAGGAAAGAGTAAGACATATTTTCACTTTTGCACCTTCTGTTCCCAAAGGAAAACATTGACTTGAAAACCAGGCTTGCAAACAGCTTCCCACTTAAACAATAAAACGGCAGCGAGTTTCTACCAGTGATCCCAGAAGGCACGTGCGAGGTACAGAACCCGGTGTTGATAAGCGCATGGGATACATGGAAAGAACGCTAAAAAAACCCAGTGATGCATGTTACTTTTTGACTCAAAATGATAGAGAAGAATCTGAACAGTTCCTATTAGAATATCCACCTGGCATTTACAGAAACATCAAATTAAGCCAGAAAGGAAAAGATGGCCTGCGTATTTATCCACTGGGTAACGAAGGCAGATTGCTGTAAGAAACTAACGCAGTCCTCTCAGCTTTATTCTCCCGCACCTTTTTTCTGGGAAGGACTGTCCTAAGTGTCCTAAATGCAGGCTCCGATGGGCCGTAAAACAGTCACCTAGGAGACCCGACACTGCCTACCGACTACAAACCGAGGCTTCATTTTCCTTTGCTAAATGTGTTGTTTTTTCCTAGTGATTAACTGGAGGGAAAAGATAAAGTCAGGCACATATTAATTTCCAAATTCCAGTGAAGCGATGCGACACATACCTGGCCAGCTCACTTCCATTCCCACGGTTAGATAGCATCCTCCTACACTTGTGCTTACAATCCTTTTTATTACGTCTCAAAGCTTGTGCGTGGGGAGAAGATGATGATGCTTATCAGAGAGCGCTGCTCTGATGTAAGCCGGGCCTGGAAAAGCTGTGCATTGACACTTCATAAAACTCGCCAGGTTTTACAATCAAACTCAAATAAAAAAGATGTACCCTTTCCTCTCATCCATACTTAGCAAATTTACCTTAAAACTCACCATCTGTAGTAAACGTTGTGCAAATGATATCATGTGCTTATAATTCTGGGGGAAAGAATTTTTTAACCAGCATATACTTCCGGTTATAGCTGAAATATTAATGGTTCAGTTGCAGGAGGGGCTGCTGCAGTTTGCTCTTTCACAAAAGCCACGTTTCCTGAGATTTCCCTGATTCCTGGACCGCATTGAGATCCCGCAGTTTTCAGGTAAGACGGCAAAACCTGCTTTTTGCTGAGAGCTTTTCCTTCGGGGGAGCAGTTCTGGGCATCAGCATGTGATGAGCAGTGGATGTTAACCACAGCGACCTTCCGGGGCGGTCACAGGGGATTGTGGGAATGTGACTGAAATCTCACCAAGGTGTCGGCGCCTGGGATTGGGGGAAGCGTTTTAACCCCACTGGAGAGGTGTGCTGGGGCGGGGCTGGGCGTGGTGACGCTGGGGGTCCTGGGGTCTGAAGGGGGCGCACGAGGAGCCTCCCTCCCTTGTCCTGGAGGAGGGTCTCTGTAACGCGGCCCCTCGTCGCTGAACCCACCAATGAGGAAATGTGGGTTAGTCAGCCACTTGCTCGGTCCCCTTCTGTCCATGCAGCTCTTTGTTTCTTGTCAGTTTCGTAACATCTGTCGCAAACAACAAGCGGCCGGCGCAGCGATGCACGCCCACCAGACGGGTGTGAGGACAGCGCTGCCTGGTCGGTGTGGCCTCAGTTACGCCATCTTGCTCGTGGGGGTCCCCCCCTGCTTACCAGGATGCAGACTCGTTACCACGCACCCCGCTGTCCCCCGGGCAACCCTTCCGCTTGGATCAGTCCCTTCCGGGTGGAAGCTCGGGGCTTCTTCCCTCTGCCTCTCCCCAGACATGTCAGGTGGACAGGGAGCTCATGGCGGTGGGTCCATGAGGCTTCTGTGTGGCACATGGGCCCTGGGCCACCTCCGGGGTCTTGGCCGAGCTCTGCAGAGATGCCAGGCTACTGTCCAGTCCACACTGGCCTCTGTGGCTGCTGAAGGCACAGCCAAGGAACACATGGTCAGTCCTCTCTGCTCACTCAGGCCCAGCGTCCCCCCCTCAGGCCACCTGGGCTCTCACTGGGTTCATGTTCAGCTCCTGACTAGGTGGCTCACCTGGCATGTCCCTGTCATGGGGTCACTTCCCGTGGCAATGGAGATGCCACAGGGAAATCTCGGCCCTCCCTCTGAGGACTGTCCTTGGAGGTGGGCACCGCTGCAGGGGTGCAGGTCACTTTTTTGAGAGCGCTTGGCTTGTGGCTTCAGGCAAAGTGCATCGGACAGGCCCAATGTTGACCATGGCCTCGGAAAGGGCCATCTCCTGGGGAGTTGTGGTGACAGAGGCACCTGGCTTTCCTGCATGGCTCCAATGACCCCACACATTCATATTTCAAAATGGCTGAAAAGACTAATGTGCACAGTTTATCGCAGGCGCCTGGCAGGCGAGAAAGTCAAATGACCCTTCAGTGATAGAAACCCAATCTACGGCCCTCAGCAGATCCCGGTCAGCTAAACCCATAACCCCTGCTGCCCTTCGAAGGGCTGTCCCGAGACATATAACACGTTGACTTTGGGGCCCTTTCCAGCATCATGGCTTCATCTTGCTGCGCCAACATGGGAGGCACGACCCCCCTCTTCATGGGGCCACTCCTTCTCATCCCACAGAATAGGTTTAAGTGCTGTGGCCTCAGAGACCCCCCCCCAGACCAGCCTATCCAGCAAGAACCTGGGATCTGTTACATTACAGGTTACACTGGGTTTCATTAACACACTTTCTAATTATATGATTATTTGTAC